CACTCGATGAGTACAGAAAACTATACCAGAAGTCAGTCTCAGATCCCAAAGGCTTTTGGAGTGAAATCGCGAATAACTTCTATTGGAAGCGATGGACACAAGAAGTAGAGGTCGTGTCCTATAATTTCGATGTCACTAAAGGACCCGTTTGTGTGAAATGGTTGGACGGATGCACAACCAATATGTGTTATAATGTATTGGATTTGGTAATTGAAAAAGGGCTCGGAAATCGTGTCGCCTATTATTGGTCAGTGTTTTAGTAATTATTGTCATATAAATAAATGTGAACAATATTGTGAATGATTTAATGATGGTTATGTTTTTATTTTATTTTATTTATGTTTATTTTAAAAAATAATAGGGAACCGAATGATGGTAATTTACACAAAATAGTTACTTACGATGAATTACTGCGCGATGTCTGCAGATTTGCAAATGTGCTCAAAGGGTTGGGCATCAAAAGGAGTGATAGAGTGGCCATATATATGTCGGTAACCGTAGAGTTGGTCACTGTTATGCTGGCCTGCGCTCGCATTGGAGCCATTCACTCAGTCATTGTATGTTAATTTATAATATAATATATATATAATATATATTTGTAATATACATGTATATATTTAAAATGTATAATGTTAACATTTTATGATTATTTAAATAGTTCGCCGGTTTCTCTGCCGAATCCCTCGCCGAACGTATAATAGATGCCAATTGTGTTGTATTAGTCACTTCTGATGGTGCCTTTCGGGCCAATAAATTTATACCATTGAAATCAATCGCCGACTCAGCACTCAATATATGCAAACAAATGTAAATTCTAATAGAAAATATTTATTTATTTAAGAAATTTATAAATTTATATTTTACTTCAGGAATCACAAAGTGATGGCTTGTATTGTGAATCCACACTTAAATCTCAATAGAAATAATATTAATATTAATGATGTTTTAAACAATAATATTGAGAATAAATGTGGCATCAATTGGAACCCAAATGTGGACATCCTATGGACTGATGTCATGACAAATGTTTGCGATTATTGCGAACCCGANAGTTTTAATCAGTAATACTTTGTCAAGAATTAATAGTTTAATTGTTTTGTCATTTTTAAAGAATGATTAGTAATCATTGATTACGTTTTATGTTACAACTAAACTGTCAAACATAACTCTTAACCAGGTAGTTTACTTTTATTATTTCAATAGAATTATATTTTAATTGATATCAAATTAAACTTTATTTGAATCACTATCAACAAAAGCTGTTTTACATAGAAATTAATATAAAAACTTTATAATTTAAAATTAAATATAAAAATTAAATATCAATATGTTTGAACAAAAGTTATAATCAGTTTATCGTCTTTAAGTCTCGCTTTGAAATTCTTAATTGCATTCTCGGACCTGATTTCAAATGGAATAGAATTCTCCTACACTTTCGGCCGCATATATAACGGTATAACACGATAGCAATGATGCGAACAATTCTGTTGAACACCTCTAAGTTTATGAACAATAGATAATGTTATGTCTATAAATAATGTTAAATCTATAACATAAAAATTAATATGGGAAATGCTAAGAAATTCTAAGTCTATAAAATTTTTCTATAGTAAAACAGTATAAAACTTACTAAATTAAATATTAATAATTAATATCAAATATTTAATTAACAATTTTATTAAATAACGTTTTTGTAATTACTTCAAATTTACTAATTGCTAACAATATTATATTTTAGATAATTGTTTAATACGAGATACAACGGGTAGTCAACAGTTCCTGGAGTACAGACTCGTCGGCCATTGTGGACGTGTCGCCAAATTTGTGGTCATTTTGGGCCACTTTAGTCAATATCCTTCGCATAATTTTACCCGATTTAGTCTTCGGGAGAGCACTGATCGCATAAATCACGTCCGGAACGGCCAGAGCTCCGATTTTGTTACGAACTTTTAAAGAGATAATATAAAAATTGATTATAATTCAAATCCAATCTTTAGAAAAATATTGTTCGTGAATAAAATACCTCTGCGTTTGATATCCATCTCTAAATCGGCGGTCATTTCAAAGCCATTATTGAGGACAACAAACACGTGAATGCACTGGCCTTTGATGGGATGCGGGGCCGAAACGGCTGCCGCCTCTGCGACGGCTCTGTGCTCGACAACAGCCGTCTCGACCTCTACTGTAGACAACAGATGTCCGGAAACATTGAGAGTGTCGTCATTCCGACCGGTCATCCAATAGTAGCCGTCGGCGTCGCGTTGGACGCCATCGCCGGTACAGTAATAGCCCCTAAACTTTTGAAAGTAAGTCATTTCATACAATTGGTGTTTGCCATCAATGGTTCGCGCGATTCCCGGCCACGGCTTCTTCATAACCAACTGTCCCACAGCCGGGCCCTCCAGTTCTCTGCCCTCGGAGTCAAGTATTGCAGGAATAACACCAAAGAAGGGCAGTGCAACTGATCCGGGCTTTATGGGTGTGGCGCCCGGTAGACACGTGAGCATTGGTCCGCCCTTAAAGTTATTTAGCACACAATTAATATAAATTAATGTAATTAAATATAACATACGGTCTCTGTTTGCCAGTAGTTGTCGACTACAGGACACCGACGATCGCCGACCACTTCCCAGAACCAGAGCCACGCCTCAGGATTGATGGGTTCGCCCGCCGTTCCCAACACTTTCAGTGTTTGTCGAGAGTATTGTTTGACGTAATGGTCGCCAAACTTCATGAGTGATCGGATAAGAGTGGGCGCAGTATTGAAGATATTGACTCTCCATTTGTCTATTATATGCCAAATATGGCCCGGGTTTGGGTGAGTGGGAGTGCCTTCAAAGAGCACTATTGAACACCCGTTGGCCAGCGATCCGTAAACAGTGAACGTATGCGCGGCCATCCATCCCAAGTCTGCGGTCGAGAAAAACACGTCTCCGTCGGTGTAATTGAATACATATTTGAATGTTATGTAAGAGTAGAGGAGATAACCGCCGATTGTGTGGACAATGCCTTTAGGTTTTCCCGTACTTCCACTTAGAATATAATAATAAACAATTTGATATAGAGTTATAATATAATACAACAGTTATAATAGTTATTATGCAACAAATTAAATTTGCTAACAAACCTGGTATACATTATGAACAGCGGGTCTTCCGCGTCCATCCATTCGGGTTCGCAATAATCGCAAACATTTGTCATGAC